TTCTCCCTCTGACCCTCCCCCCTCTCATGTGCTCTCTCTCATTCTCTCTCTCTCAAATAAATAAATAAAATCTTTAAAAAAAAAAAAAAAGAGTAGTTTATGCTAAAAAATGCTAACCATCATCTGAGCTTTCAGTGAGTCATAATCAGCAGTCACAGATGACCGTAACATAATAATAATGAAAAATATTGTGAGACATTACCAAAATGGGACACAGAGTCATGAAGTGAGCAAGTGCTGGTGGAAAAACAGAGCTCATGAACTTGCCTGATGCAGGGTTGCCACAAACCTTCAATTTTTTTTTTAAGATTTTATTTATTTTTTGACAGAGAGACAGCAAGAGAGGGAACACAAGCAGGAGGAGTGGGAGAGGGAGAAGCAGGCTTCCCGCCGAGCAGGGAGCCCGATATAGGGCTCGATCCTCAAGACCCTGGGATCATGACCTGAGCCGAAGGCGGACGCTTAACGACTGGGCCACCCAGGCGCCCCAAACCTTCAATTTGTAAAAAAACAAAAACAAAAAATGCAGTATCTGCAAAGTGCAACAGACCAAGGTCTGCCTGCAACCTCAATGTCATAAAACTTTCCTGAGCCCGTTTTAATAGGATCACTTAGCTCTGGCTTCCTTAAGGAGAAAAGAGGTGAACTAAAAGATATTGGCTAGCAAGTGAAATAAGCCAGAGAGAAAAAGGCAAATACTGGACGATTCCACTTATACGTGAGGGACTTAGAACAGGCAAATTCATAGAGACCAGGGGCTGGGGGAGCGAGAATGGGGAGCTGTTGCCTAGAGTGAACAGACTTTCAGTTTGAGATGATGAAAAGTTCTGGAAATGGACAGTGCTGATGGTCGCAAACACTGTGAATGTCCTTAATGCTGCCACTGAACTGTGTACTTAAAAATGATTAAAATAGTGAACTTTATGTTATGTATATTTTATCACAATAAAAAAAAAACCAAGAAAAAATTACTTACCTGCAAAAGGAATTCCTCTGAATCTGGCATCCCTGAACATCCTTAAAATATATACTAGCCCCCTTTCCCATCCCACCTGCATTTGGGGGCCCCCAAACCAAACAAGAGTAATGTTGAATCTTGTTCATTTATCAGCATGAACCTCCTGACCTTCCTGTTCCCTGTCTTTGCAAATTATCTCTCTGAACACTAAGTGGAGTCCTGAAATGCTTCTTAGGAGCATGGCACCCACATGTCGCACTATTTGGTCCTAGTCTTTTCTTTCAAGTGATTACCCCCAAAACGAGAAAGATACTACCCCAAGATTTCATTATCATAATGCCCATAATATCTTCTTCATAAGAGGGAGGTATATAAGGTATATAATACCTTCTTTATAATACCTTCCTTATACCTATTGAGTAATAGTGAGAATAATTGTTAGGACGTATACTGAGAAGAACAGCAATAATTCAGCTGGCAGGTTGGTGACTTCTCAAAGAATTTTCTCTCAAAGCAGAGAAACATTTTTCCTCAGGCATCCCTTTCTCTCAGATATTCAGGAATGTAAATACTGTTGGTGAGTTGCTCACCCTTTGTGTTTAATTTCCTTGATGACTGAATGTGTTGAATTTACTTTGTTCTAAAATTTAAAACTTTTAGGACCAACCTGTATCAGTGTGTGACCAGTCTGCAAAGTTGATCTGCTCACGTACTATAGTTGTGAGGACACAACTGAGAAAACCAGGATGTTAAAATATAAATGTGGATAGCTGGGTCTAGAGCAGGTTTTTTCAGACTACAGTTTGCAGCCCATCATTGGGTCCTGAAATAATTTTAGTGGGCTGTGATCAGTCTTAGAAACAACAAAAAGAACAGACTAGAAGAGTGTGCTGCATTCTGTTCCAGTCGTAAATAACGATCTGTGGGCCTGTGTGTGGTATATGCGTTGGGTCTGAACGTGAACGACATTGCTCATTAGGGCCTGCAGTAAAAAGGGTCTGAAGTCAGCGATTTGGACCAAAGAACTGGAGGCTGGAGGCAGGTAGACAGTAATGGTTCAGTTGGAATTCTGGTATGTTCCATGTTTTCCTGGGATGTTGGCTTTCATTCCCAAGTGACTAGAGGGACCTTAAAAGAGACGGTGAGAAGGAATTCCCCGAAGGAAGCCTCGTGTATGAAACCCGTCTCCTTGGACAGCACGTTTGTTGGAAGCTCCCAAATGTGTCTTGGAGGAAGAGTGGCTTCTGGGTGGGCCTTGGCGGTGGGAGTGGTCATGCGGGGCCCATTTCACAGCTGGTTCTGAAGCTTTTCACTTCTGTCCGCTTGCTAGCGGAGAATAAAAATGCAGTGCTCACGCTGAAGAGTTCTTTCACATTTTCAGAGTTGTGGTTTAAGCACTTTTGACCCCAGGGAGGTTATAGAATCACAGAATTTTAGACCTGGAGCCACCTTAGAGATGGAGTTCATCTTCTTTTCAATCTTTTTTTTTTTTTTTTCGGTAAGCTTTACACCCAACGTGGGGCTTGGACTCACGACGCTGAGATCAAGAACCGCATGCTCTACCGACTGAACTGGCCAGGCGCCCCTTCTTTTGAATTTTAAGAGCTAAAGAGAGAGAGGCCGAGGCTGACCTCTGCATTCAAGGTGGGCCGTGACGCTCCTGGAGGAGGGGAAGAGATACAGAGCGAGGAATGGAGGCACGAAGAGACACAGTGAGAAGCCTTTGTGGTTTCCTCAATCATTGCAGTAGAAAAATAAATGTGTTTAAGTTTTTTTTTTTTCCCAACTCAAAGAAAAGGCCTTCTGCCCTTTTGCTTTCTTGCTGCCTCATTCCTGGAATGAGAAAGTGTAATGAGTTGCTGGCTTCTCTCTGCCGCTAGAGCATCCTGTGGCTCCTAGGGGAAGCCTAAGGGGCCCTGCAGTGCCGGGAGCCCCCCCACACCTCCCAACGTTCAGCTGCAGAGTGTGAACCAGCTGGATGAGGAAGCAGTTGGAACAGGTCATTAAAAATGAGAAGCAATGCCAGTTCTAGCCAGATACATACACTGGGTGAATAAATGTTCCGGAGAGAAAGATCAAATTCATTCATGCCACTGGAATGCACGGAACTAAAGGACAGCTGAATTCAATTTTGATGGGGACCAATGATGACAACTCAGCTGGGTACCCTGCTCGCCACGGAGGCAGGTGTGGGCCCCTGCTATCTCTCCTGACAAGGGTTTTTTGTTTGTTTTTAAATCGTCTGATGTGCTGTTGCAGCTGGGGCCAAATGTTTCCGCACCTGGCTGTCATTAGCACCTCGCTGGCAGGCGCATACGGAGCGCCGGGTGCTCATGACAACAGGTGGGCATCGTTTGAGGAGTGGCGCATTCCTCCTCTTGCTCACCGGCCCACATCAGTATGCTGGGAGAAAAAAACAAAACAAACCAACAACTTCTCTCTCTTGAAACACTAGAAGGAAAGGTCGAATTCTGCAAAGAGTACAGTTAGTGACAACTCTCCCCCCAAAATAAATGGTAGAGGAGAAAGGGATTATTTTGAGTATAGCTTGTGTTTTTCTCGGTCTCTGCTGCAAGTGCTAATGAAATTTTATTCCCAGGCTCATGAAGGCTAGAGGAGCCTTCCACGGGGGGTAGAGGGGTGGGCACTGCTAGGATGGGTGGTCTCTTAGGAATATGGAAAGAGGGCGCCTGGGTGGCTCAGTTGGTTAAGCGACTGCCTTCAGCTCAGGTCATGATCCTGGAGTCCCGGGATCGAGTTCCGCATCGGGCTCCCTG